CAGGACAATCCTCTTAATACACCTTTCTTGCAACTGCACCACATTGTTGACTCATATTCAATTTGTGAGCACTATAAACCACAGATCCTTTTAAGGAGTATTACTGCATTGCCAGTTATTCCACGTTTTGGAGTTGTGAATTTGATTTTTCCATCCTACGTGTAGTACTTTGCACTTCTCTTTACTGAATTTCATCTTGTTGAGTTCTAACCAAGTCTCTAATTTGTCAGAGTTGTTTTGAATTCTAATCCTGTCCTCCAAAATGCTTGCAACCCTCCCCAGCTTGGTGTCTGCTGCAAATTTTCAAAGCATCCTCTTCATTCTGTTATTCCAATCATCAATACAAATATTGAATTGTACAGCACCCAGGATGGATCCCTGCAGGACCCTCCCAGATGCACCCTCCCAGTTTGATTGCAAACAATTGATCATTAATTTCTGAGTATGGCCTTTGAACCAGTTGTGCACCCATCTTATAGTAATTTCATCTAGACTACATCTCCCTAGTTTGCTTATGACAATGTTATATGGGATTGTGCCAAAAGCCTTACTAAAATCAAGATATATCATATCTACAGCTTCCCCCTATAGCAAATGTGTAATGAAATCTCTCTCTCCAAATTAGTTTAAACATTGGGTTAGGTATAACCTGTGGCACCTGTGTGGACGCCCTGGTCTTTTAATGTGGTCTGATCGGCCTCCAGGAGTGTCCCACAATGCCTGTTCTACCCACTCTGGTCATCTCTTTGAACTCTACTGCCCTGCCCTCAGGTGACCAACCATCAGACCCGCCCTTTAAATTCTCTGGGAATTTTGAAAATCCCCTTCCTGTTTGCTCAGCCAGGCATGGAGTGCTCCTAGCACATCTTTCCAGGTGACCAGGCCTCCATGCACCAAGCGATCCCCAGTATGGAGCAACGGCGAGGTGCTGGATCTCATCAGTGATAGTGGGAGGAAGCTGTCCAGTCCCAGCTGCACTCCAGCCATAGGAATTACGATAGCTTTGGGCAGATATCAAGGGACATGATGGAAAGGGGTCATGACCAGGACGCTCTGCAATGCAGGGTGTGACGGGTTGGATCACAGAAACCCCCCTGGGAGCTGCCACCCGATGTGCCAAGACTACCTCTGTTCCTGCTTTCCCTGCCAGCTCAGGACTTCAGCATCTTGTCTTGCTGAGCCAGACACTCCCGTCTGCTCCAGCAAAGACCAAAGGGTCTGAATTACTTGCCCCAAAGCTGCAGGTTTACCTGAAAGTAGCTCATA